CAAACTGGCAACCTCTTGGTGCATGGGTCAACACTCAACCAGTGTGCCACACCGGCCGGGCTAAATTGCAAATTTTTTTTTTTTTTTTTAAAGATACTATCATGAAAGTAAAAAGATAACCCACAGAATGTGAGAAAATAATTGTAATCATATATCTGATAAGTGTCTAGTACCTAGCATATATAAAGAACTCTTACACCTTAACAACAAAAAGACAAACAACCCAATTTAAAAATAGAGAACTTGAATAGATATTTCTCTAAAGAGGATACATAAATAACCAACAACCATATGAAAAGATAATCAACATCATATAGCATTAGAAAAATGACAACAAAAATCACAATGAGCCCTGGCCAGTGTTGCACAGCGGTTACTGTCAGCCCACAAACTAAAGGATCTCGGGTTTGATTCTGGTCAAGGGCATGTACCTGTGTTGCAGGTTTGATCCCCAGCCCTGTTCAGGGCATGTGAAGGAGGCAACCTATCGATGTATCTCTCTCACATCAATGTCTCTGTCTCTCTGTCTCTTTTTCTCCCCTCCCTCCCTCTAAAAATCAATGTGAGGATTAACAAAAAAAAACAAACAAAAATACAATGAGATACCACTTCACACCCACTAGGATGGCCACAATCAGAAAATAGCACAGCTGGTGCGGCTCAGTGGATTGAGCATCGTCCCATGGACTGGGAGGTTCCAGTTCAATTCCCACTCAGGGCACATGCCCAGGTTTCGGGCTCGATCCCCAGTAGGGGGCATGCAGGAGGCAGCCGATGGATGTTTCTCTCACACATCAATGTTTCTCTCTCTCCCTAAAAAATCAAAAAAAAATATTTTTAGCCCTGGCCAGTTTGGCTAAGCAGTTAGAGCATCGGCCTGCAGTCCAGAGAGACCCAGGTTCAGTTCTGCTAAGGGCACGTACCTCGGTTGCGGTTTATCCCCGGCCCTGGTTGGGTTGTGCAGGTGGCAGCCACTCGATGTGTCCCTTTCATGTTGCTGTTTCTCTCTCTCTCTCTCTCTTCCTCTCTCCCTCTCCCACTCTATCTGAACAAATAATGAAAAAATGTCCTCAGGTGAGGATTAAAAAAAAAAATTTTTTTTTTTTAAAAGAAAATTAGAAATGTTGGCAAGAATGAGGAGAAACTGTAACCCTCATATATTGTTGGTAGAAATAAAAATAATGCAGCTGCTGTGGAAAACAATTTGGCAGTTCCTCAGAAAATTAAACAGAGAATTATCATATGACCTAGAATTTCCACTCCTAGGTATATATCCCAAAAGAAATGAAAACAGGCTATTCTTTTTTTTTTATTCCTCACCCGAGAATATTTTTTTCTATTTATCATCTGAGAGAGTGGAAGGGAGGGGGAGAGAGAGAGAGAGAGACATCGATGTGATAGAGCCATATCTACTGGTTGCCTCCCACACAACCTGACCAGAGCCACAACCCAGGTACAGGCCCTTGACCGGAATCAAACCCGCAACTCTCTGGCCGACGCTCTAACTACTGAGCAAAACCAGCCAGGGCTTCTCTTTTTTTTATTGAATCTTTATTGTTCAAAGTATTACAGATGTTCCCCCCTTTTCCCCACATTGACCCCTTCCACTCTATGATATTCTGCAACAACCAATTTGTACTTCTTAACCCCTTCACCTTTTTCACCATTCCCCCAATGGCCCCCCTCCCATCTGGCAACCACCAAAAAATCTTCTCTGTATATATGAGTCTATTTCTGTTCTGCTGTTCATTTTGTTTGTTGATTCAATTGTTGGTATGTATATATTGCCATTTTATTATCCATATTTTTATTCTTCCTTCTTTCTTCCTCCTTCTTCCTCTTCCTCCTTCTTCCTCTTCCTCCTCCTCCTCCTCCTCCTCCTTCTTCTTCTTTCTCCCTCCCCTGTCCTCCTCCTCCTCTTTCTCTTCTTCTTCTTCTAGAAGACCCTTTAACATTTCTTGTAATACTGGTTTGGTGATGATGAACTTCTTTAGCTTTTTCTTGTCTTGGAAGCTCTTTATATGTCCACCAATTCTAAATGATAGCCTTGCGGGATAGAGTAATATCGGTCGTAGGTCCTTGCTTTTCATCACTTTGAATATTTCCTGCAACCCTCTTCTGGCCTGCAAAGTTTCTTTTAAGAAATCAGCTGACAGTCATGGGAGCTCCCTTGGTGGTAACTAACTGCTTTTCTCTTGCTGCCTTTAACACTTTCTGTTTGTCTTTAACCTTTTACATTTTAATGATGATGTGTCTTGGTGTGGGCCTTTTTGGGTTCATCTTGATGGGGACGCTCTGCACTTCCTGGACTTGTATGTCTATTTCCATCATCAAGTTAAGGAAGTTTTCTGTTATTATTTTTTCAAATAGATTTTCAATTTCTTGCTCTCTCTTCTCCTTCCAGCACCTCCATGGTATGCTCAAAGTTGTCCTAGAGTCTCCTTACTCTATCCTCATTTTCTTTTATTACTTTTTCTTTTTGCTGTTCTGATAGGGTGTTTTTTGCTTCCTTATATTCCAAATCGATGGTTTTAATTCTTGGCTTCAACCTACTCTACTGTTGATTCCCTGTAACTTATTCTTTATTTCAGTTAGTGCATCCTTCATTTCTGACTAGTTCTTTTATGCTCTTAAGGTCCTCACTAAGTTCCCTGAGCATCCTTTTAACCAGTATTTTAAACTCTGCATCTAGTAGTTTGCTTTCTCCATTTTGTTTAGTTCTTTTTCTGAAATTTGGCTTTCATTTGGGACGTGTTTCTTTGTCCACTTATTTTGCCTGCCTCCCCATGTTTGTTTCTATGTATTAGGTAGAGATGCTATGTCTCCTAGGCTTGGTAGGGTGGCCTAATTTAGTAGATGTCCCATAGGGTCCAGTGGCACAGTATCCCTGATCACCCTAGTTGGGCACTGGAGATGCACACTCTGTGTGGGCTGTACACCCCTGTTGTAATTGAGTCTTGATTGTTACTGGCACATCAACGGGAGGATTTACTCAGGTTGATCAGCTGCAACAACTGGCTGTGACCACTGACCACCGACCTAACCACCTCGGAGGATCAGCTGTGCAGGGGCTCACCACACAGAGCCAGATTTACTCAGCAGAGTTCTTGAGTGTGTCACTTGTGGAGGGTTTTGGGTGATGGTGCTTTGACATGGTCTGAAGCTGCCCACTGGGTGTGCTGCCTCTGGGGCCTCCCAGGAGGTGTAAGTCAAGGTCAGCCACTACCTGCATTCTACCTGGCTGCTTCTTGTGCTGGGCTTAGAGGTGCCCAGGCAACGCCAAGCTGTGAACCAAGGCTGGCTGCTCCTAGTGCCGGACCTGTGGCCATTTACTGAGAGGTATGGAGCTCGCTGAGGCCAGATGCTGCCTGTTTAAGAGATTTTAGGAAACTCTGCAGCATGAGCAGGCCATTCCTATGGAAAAGCCACTGGAAACAGCTTGGGTGGGCATACAAGTTGGGTGAGGGAGGAATTCAGAGAATCAGCAGGGTAGGGCAAACAGTGTGAGTCAGGATGATGGAGTCTCTGCTATGGTGCTGTCTGCTGGCTCTGTGGGTGAAGGACTCATCAAAAGAACAATGGCCTCTGCCAGCACTTCTGCCCAGGAGAAAGCTGCCCCTCAAGCTCTCACCCTGATGCCAAATAATTCAGTTCCTCCCCATATGTCTTTGGTGCCTTTCAAGCTGTTGCCCCTGCCCTGGAGCTCAGAGGGAGTGAGCCCAAGTAAATCCAAGTGTGGGCCATTTAAGAGGAGCTGCCTGGGACTCCAACAGCCTCATCCTCCCTCAGCCTCAATTCCCACTGGTTTTTACAGCTAGAAGTTATGGGGACTTCTCTTCCTGGCACTGCAATCCTGAGCTGGGGGGCCTGGTGTGGGACGAAGACCTCTTGCTCCTCAGGGAGAACCTCCACAGCCAAGATATCCCTCCTGATTTTTATCCATCATATGAAGGTGTGGGCCCAGCCTTTCTGCATCTCTGCCCCTCCTACCAGTCTCAATGTGGCTCTTCTTTAATTTTGTAGTTGTAGGACTTCCATTCAGCTTGACTTCAGGCGGTTCTGAACGACGGTTGTTCTGCAGCTTAGTTGTAAGTTTGATGTGGTTGTGGGAAAGGCTGAGAACTTGTTTACCTACAATGCCACCTTGACCAGAAGTCCGAAAGCATTTTATTCAAACAAATACTTATACATGACTGGTCACAACTTCACTGCTTCATAATGGCTAAATGGTAGAAACACCCCAAATGTCTATCAATGGATAAATGGATGAACAAAATGTGGTATATACATATAATGGAATATATTCAGCCATAAAAAGGAATGAAGGACTGATATACACTGCAACATGGATGAGCCTTGAAACAGAATACCAAGGGAAAGAAGTCATTCACAACAGGTCACATGCTATATGATTCCATTCATGTCTAGATGAGGGAAATGTATAGAAAGTGATTGCTTAGGACTGGGATGGGAAAGGACAAGGGATGGGGTGGGGAGCAGGGGTTCTTAGAGAGACAAAGAGGGAGCTAATGAGACAGAAGATGGGGATATAAGTTCTCAGCAAACAATAGGGAAAGTTAAAAGCATATGACATGTTTATGTCAGATTTCTTAAAAGAAAATATCAAGAAAATGTTTCTACATTAAGGACTTTAGAATTTAGACACTGAGCATCAGAGCTGGTAAGCAAAATACCCCCAAAAAAATTTTACAGCAATAAATAAAGAAATAGAGTGCTGTTTTAAGATGCCAAGGAGGCTACTTAAGAAAGGAAAGTCCCAGAAATGTTAGAAATTAAGGAAATATCCTTGCCTAAAGCAGTAAGCACTGCCCTCTTCCAGAAAATATGTTACCATAAAATTTATACCATTAGAAAAACATGTGTTTTGTGTATCTTACAATTTAAAAAATTACACCATCTTATAACATACATCTAAAGGGCAGACAGTGGCTGGACCACAAACCTATTATGTGGCATTATGGAAATAGATGCTCATTTACCTCTCTGACTGAGAATTCCTTCAGGCCTGAATATTTCTGGAGTCTCAAAGGCAAAAATGCAGTCGCTTTCATGCACTGTTTCCAGGTCATCTGTGTCACAAAAGGAACGGTGGAACCCATCATAGTACATTTCTGTTAACACAATCTAAAAATGGGAAAAATGTAAACAGTTGGACAAGCAGGAAGTCAGTATGAATAGATCTCCTAATTTGTCACAAATTTCCCCAGACCACCAGGACCTAACCTGTGAGGGATCTAACACCTGTCTCAGAGCTCACAGTATTTGCCTTTAAGAAGAGAATCCTGGCAGCACAACATCCTCTGTAACTGACAAGCAATATACTCTGCTCTCAGAGCCTATGGCATTAAGTCCAGCGTTCTTCCAAGTTCTGGTGGAGAAGAGACCCAGGAGATCAGAATGTTTGTTCTTCTTTCATAGGGGAAGAAACTAAAGAGAAGGCAGAGTGACCTGCCTGAGGTAATACAACTATTCAGTCTCATGGCAAGGACGGAGTCCACATATGACTCTAAGACTTGCTCCTATATCACTAAATGTTCTTCTTTCCAGGTTAAAAAATGTCAAATAACCATCAATACTTGTATTAGAAAAAAAAATGAAATCAACTCAAATGTCCAACAATAGGAACTAGTTAAATATAGCATAGCCTTACTGGAATTATAAAGCTATTACAAAGACTGAGCTACAAATATTTGCACTAACATTAAAAAAAAATCTCCTAAATAAGTAAGAATCAAGGTAAAGAACAATGTGAGTTCATTTTTATAAAATAGTAAATATAGTATAGGCACAGGAAAAAATAGGAATGAATGTACAACATAATATTACAGTTAGTAAACCGTAGTTCTAAGATATTTAATATGAGATACTTTCTAAGTTTTGTTTTTGAAATGGTTGAGTATTGCACAGTAAAACAGAAAAACAAAAGATGGATAAAAACAATGGAGACATTTAGAGACTTCGTTGCATGCTCAACAGCATTGTCTAGTGAAAAAGCACTGCACTGGGCATGAGGAGGTCCTAGTCCAGCCTGCCACCAACCAGCCCTGTGACCTTGAACAAGTCACATGATTTCTGGGGGCCTCCTTCATATGAGGGTTTACACTGGACCCCTGAGGTTCCTTTTATGAACACAAACATAATACGAGTCTATGAGGTAAAAAGGGCTGGTGCCATAGTCCACAAACAGTCCAAGGAAAATACTCCTGGCACATTTCCCGTTTAATGATTTTAATGACCATGTTGTTACTCTGCAGGTGAACATGCAAATATAATTCACTTTCTCCAACAAGTTGAGGTCAAAACAAACTTATAATTATATCACTCATTCAAACCGCATGAAAAAAGAACCAGACAGCACTGAGAACTTTAAAGAGACAACCAGATTTGCCTTGGACACACACCTAAGCCTCCCTCCTTCTCTGTCTTTCCCCTCATCCTGAAGGAAAATAAATCAAATCAATGACCTCTTAAGAGTAAGGAAAAACGTGAACGCTATGAATGTACCAGTGCTGGGCCTATGAAGATGCACCATATTTGCTTCTTAGGGCAATGCTGCTAACGGCATTTGTTTTACTGTGGTAACTTCCCAAATGAGGTGTCAGCAGCCAAAGTACATGACCCCTTTACTATGCAAGTATGGCAGCTTCCACAAGTGATACAGGGACAAGCAACTCAGTCACTGAATCATCTTTCCTTAGTAAATCCTAAGTAGGGAACATTTTTCCAAATAAAATCATAATAGTGAACTGAGTAAAGAATGTATACAAAAATACATTCCTGGCCGGTTTGGCTCAGTGGTGGAGCATCAGCCTGCGGACCAGAGCATCCCGGGTTCGGTTCCCACTAGCAGCACGTACCAAAAACAAAAAATGTCAAGTCACAAACAGGTCAAACGTATTTTGGGCCAGTTTAAATATCAAAAATTTAGCCTAAAAAGCAAGTTGCGGGGGGGGGGGGGGTGGTTACAGCATACAACTTCCTTTCTCTTATCTAAATAAGGTAAGAGACTGGTCCAGCTGTAACCAGAGAACAAACAGAACTGAGCATCTATGTGCAGGAATTAGCCAGATACCCATTCTAATCATCACGATGGGAAGGTTTTCAAGAGGTGCTGCTCAGGTTCCCTAAGCCTCTTTGACTTTCAAATACCACGGTAATGCTCTCCCCTATAAGCCTCCACAGGGATGATTTAAGGGGGCTAAGTAATTATACTTTATAAAGTCACAGCTTTTCCTCTTGAAAATGTACACACAATTAAATGATACATGAAAAAGTTTTGTGTACATTCTTCTCCTCTGGGTCTTAATTTCCCTTTTCCTCAACCCAGAAGTAACTGGTTTGAGTTTTCTATCTAACCATATTTGGCAGAAAACTGTTAAAGAAATTCCAGAACAAAAAGCCACACTTCCGTGGCTCCTTGTGTAATCAGGGTTAGCAGGCGTACTACCTGATCAGTGGGGATCTTTGTTTCCATAGACACTGCCTCCCGAAGCCTGGCGACAGTCCCAGACAGGGGCACGGCCACGCCAATCCTCATGCAGTGAGAACACTTTCCTTGATACACTACGGTGACATAGAGAGGCCTGTACAGATCAAAGTCAGATCTTCTTATTAGTTGCTTATTTCAACTAAAATGCAGAAGCAAGATAAACCTGATTGGAAATCAATGTAAAACCGAAGCTAACCCACACCTTTCTTTAGAAGCCAAACAGAAAAACTCATTTGGACCTAAGTAAAACTATCAAACAATAATCAAGAGATCTCTGGAAAAGGTAAGTTTCAAAAAAACAAAAATATAACATATCAATACTTGGTTCTGTGCTTTGTATTTCCTTAAAACAGCGTAACTCCTGAAAATGTTGAGGGACAGTTCAAATAAAGCAATTAACTGAAAGTGCAATGTGAGGCCTCTAGAGGATCTAGAAGGCACCCAACCACCTTTCCCCTTCCCCCACGCTGTGGATGGACGACCAACTGAATACACACACCTGTCCCATGCACCCTGCAAACTCAGACAGGCATTTATAAATTTCTGTAAGGTTTTAACAATGCCTGGATTCAATGTATCCTTAATCCCATTACTCGTCTAAATAAGTAAGACCTTTTAAGAGCCTATAGAGAAAAAGGAACACATAGGACCCACCTTAAAAACCTGTTCTTACCTTGTGTGGGGTAGAGGAATTGGCAAAGAAATGCAGAGGAAAGGGTCAAAGGTGTTGCTCTGCTTCTGACAGTGAGGGCATGTCAAAGAAGATCTTCAAAAACAAAAAGGTAAGACACCCACATTAAGATCACCTACAACTACATAAGCAAACAACATAAAGAGAAATTTAATTTGCTCATACCTGTACTGGGCTTGAAAAAGTTCTTGTACAAAAGTGCTACAGACCGAAAAAGATGGTCCCTCAGACATCGTATCAGTATCTGATGGTGGCTTAAAAGAAGAAAGTACAATTTCACAGACCAGAAGTACCAATTACTGGCTGAAGATGACCCTGAAAGTGTCACAAATGTCTCTGATGTCTTATATAAGCTATGCATCAGGTCAGATGTTTCAGTAACAGGTATCTGCTAAACCAGAACACAGCAGCCAGGACGTGGCTCACAAGAATTCATCTCCTCACAGGCTCTCCCACACATCCCCGTCTCTCTGCCCAACTACGCAGTTCTTCCCTAGAACACTCCAATCTCCCTCTAACTCTCAAAGTCCCACTCTAACCTCTTCCAGGAAATCACCCCAGCCACTGGTTCCTCCCACGCCTAAATAAATTCTCTAGCGCCTATTAGCTGCTGATTTTGGTGCCTACTCACTCTATTTCATATTTCACTTAACCTTCTCGTGTCCCTCCACCTAATGATTAGTTACTGAGCACCTGCTACTATGTGCAGAGAACACTGTGGAGGGCTTTAGGGTACAAAAATAAGGCAAAGCGTCTGATATTCATTTCAATCTGATAGGAGAGAGTCAGCCATATGGCAGTACCGTGTTCCGGCACAAAAGAACCTTGAATCAAAATAATTTAACTTACCAAAACTAGAAATTTAAAGCGTGAGGTACAGAGCAGAATTATCAAAAACTTTAAAAGATGCAAGAGAAAGGCAACTCTTTATCTTAATTATTTCTATTACAAAAATCACTTTACTCATCATAGTAAGGTTACGTGCATAAAAACTGAGAATAAATCACTCTCTCTCAGTAGGAACATCCTGGGGTTCAGTTCCTGCACTTGAGTCCAATCCCAACAACAGAGACATCCATACGTTTCCTGTTTGTGTGTCCATTCCAGTGACCTATAGGTTATGGGTCTCACTAGACTATAAAACAAATTTTTGCTTTAGTAACAGTTTAATGATATAACCACTAAATTTTTGTCTAACACTAATTCAAATGTGTCCCATCTCATTAGAATAAGCTCCTGGGAGATAGCGCCTCTGGAATCTCACACTGCCAACATGGTGGTAAACATGGAAGACTCCTCTATGTACCCATGAATTCTGTACTCACCCAGAACGTACTCAATGTCACTATATTAACTGAGCCCAAACCGCAATAGTTCCTCGGAGGTTTGGAAGAACGGGCCCTGGGCTCCCTGCTTCCTGACTGCTGCGCGGGGCGCCCTCACCTTCACAGGAGGCTGGCCAGTCTGCTTCACAGCATGATTGAGGTCTTCATGAACTCGATCCAAAAGCCACAACAGAAACTCCTGGGCATCATGCTGGGAATTTCCCCGGTACTGGAGTGCATTCTTTGACACAATACTCTAGAGAGGTACATAAATCAGCATGAATAGTTGTGAGCCCTGGCTTTATGATAAACTGTTCATAACCCCAAAGAGGGATGGATGCAAGCTCTCAAGGGTGTTACAGGACTTCCCGGAAAGAGCAATGTAAAAACAGGTGTTCAAAAACAAACCAAGAAACAGTCACTCAATGTAAAACCCACCCTCTGGAACATTCACCAAAGACTTAAATGTGCCTACCGAGGAATTCCAGTTTTAGAAATATAGCTAAAGGAAACCATCAAAACAAGACATTTAAGAGGATATTTATTCATCAGGCTTTTTAATAGCAAAAAAAAAAATTATTTTGATAATTTGAATCTTAAAAATGAGAACTGTTACAAATACCTTATTACTTTGTATACCTGAAACTAACAAAATATTATGTCAATTATACCTCAATAAAAAAAGAAAAAGTATTTAATTATAGAACAAAGTATTAAAATAAACAAGTCGCCCTGGCCAGTTTGGCTCAGCGGTTAGAGCGTCGGCCTGAGGTCCGGAGAGACCTGGGTTCAGTTCCCGCTAAGGGCACGTACCTTGGTTGCAGTTTGTCCCTGGCCCTGGTTGGGTCGTGTGGGTGGCAACCACTCGATGTGTCCCTTTCACACCGATGTTTCTCTCTCTCTCTCTCTCTCTCCCTCTCACTCTACCTGAACAAAATATCGAAAAAATGTCCTCAGGTGAGGATAAAAAAAATAATAATAATAAGTAAACAAGTCTCTATCATATAAATGATTGAATAAATAAGTAGGAAGAAGAAACAAACCTTCCTTATAGAAGAATTCCAAATAATTTATGTCATTAATGCCCCTCCAGGTGTTGGCCTGAACTCTCCACCTTGAAAATGGGCTATGACAGTGACTTGCTTTCAAAGACTCAAGCATGGAAAAGGAGTAGCCAGTAACAGGCTGCAGGAGAACCGATTTAAGATCATGAGCTCTGGCCCTGGCCAGTTTGGCTCAGTGGTTGAGCATCAGCCTGCGGACCAGAGAGTCCTAGGTTCAGTTCCCACTAGAAGCACATACCACCAAAAAAAAAAAAGATCATGGGCTCTGGACATGTAGCCTCAGTTCAAATCTCTGTCCTACCTCTCATTATGTATAAGGTCTGAACCAACTCCGCTTCAAAGTGAAAAGGACAACAATGGTTTAGTGTGATGGTTAAGTGAGAATGCATGCAAAATGTTTCACGTGTCAATGAGGTATAAATAAGCACTCCAATTTTAACTATGAGCACTGAACTTGGAAGCAGGGAGGAAGGAGGGGAGACAACTGCACAAAGCTAAAGCAGTTGAGGAAAGAAATAACGAGGGTCTAAGCTAAGGCAGTGAGATCAGAAATGTGATGGCAAATCTGAGAGGTTTAGGAATTGAGGCAGTAGAATCAGAATTTGTGAGCTAATGAATGTGGAAAATGAGAAAGGAGGCATTAGAGTCACCCAGGTGTCTTATTTCGATGATGGGCAACAGGAGTTAACTTCACCAAGACAAAATAAAAAAGGCCCTGGCCAGTTTGGCTCAGCGGTTAGAGTATCAGCCCGCAGACCAGAGTTGCGGTTTTAATTCTGGTCAAGGGCACATACCTCGGTTGCAGTTTAGTCCCTAACCCTGGTCAGGGTCGTGGGGGAGGCAACCAGTCCATTTGTCTCTCTCACATCGATGTTTCTCTCTCCCTCCCTCCCTCCTAGTCTATCTGAAGATAAATGGAAAAATATCCTCGGTGAGGATTCAAAAAAATTATGTATCTGTCTATCTATACACAAAATAAAAAAGAAAGAAGTCTGGGGAAGACGACGACGAGCTCCCCCTCCAATCCACTGCATTTAGAGTTCTGCAGAACCTGCAAGTAGAAGTATCTGGTAAACAAGTGAAAAATACAGATCCGGGCTCCATGGAGGAGTCTGGGCTAAGGACAAGATTTGGGAGACAACAGATGGGTGGTAGTTGAAACTATGAGTATGTCATGAGATGAAGCCAGAGGACAGAGCCCAGAGTACAGCTATATTGAGGGGGCCCTCAAGGAGACCAAGAAAAGGTCATCAAAGATGTGGCAAGAAAAATCAAGAGAATGGAGTTCCAGGAGTCAAGAGAAGAGAATTATGCAGAAAGTGATCAATAGTTTTCAAAGTTGAAGAATGATAAAATAAGCCAAAGAAATAAAAGCTGTCCACTGTATTTTTTCCAATTAAGATGATAACAGAGATTTTTCCTTTATTGATTTTAGAGAGAAAGGAAATGAGAGGGAGCGACAGATAGAAACATTGATGAGAGAACATCGATTGGCCGCCTCCTGCATGCCCCCCACTGGGGATTGGGCCCATAACCTGGGCATGTGCCCTGACCAGGAATCGAACCGGCGACCCCTTGGTGCATGGGTCGATGCTCAACCACTGACCCACACCAGCCGGGCAAAAGGGGATAGATTTCAAATTCCATTATGAAAAAGCAGCATCAGCCCTGGCCTGTTTGGCTCAGAAGTTAGAGCGTTGCCTACAGTCTGGAGAGACCGGGGTTCGGTTCCTGCTAAAGGCATGTACCTCAGTTGCGGTTTGTCCCCAGCCTTGGTTGGGTCGTGTGGGTGGCAACCACTCGATGTGTCCCTTTCACGTTGATGTTTTTCTCTCTCTCTCTCTCCCTCTATCTGAACAAAAATTATCAAATAACAAACAAACAAACAAAAAGCAGCATCACAATTTGATGGTCAATTATATGTGAAAGATGATTTACAAAGATTGAAATTTATGGAGGAAAAAAAGTCAAAGGGACAAAAAGGAGAGTACATTGAGGTGTTGCTGGCAAAAGGTATTAACTGAATGAAGTGAGCAAGGGAAAGGAAGGACCCGATGACAAGCAAGGGTGCCACCTGGACGCCATCTCGGAAACAGATACACAAGAGGAGACAGGACTGTGGGGGAAAAGTCTTCCCCACACAACAAAACTTCCCCCAGAAGTCAGATGTCACCAAAATTACCAAACCCAATTTCTTCTTGCTTAGCCCTCAACTTACTCAATCTCCCTGTAGTAGTTTATCTACTTAATATCGTCCTTAATCTTGAAATGGCTCGGTTTGTGGCCTTATGTTCTCATTTAGGAGAATCAAAACCAGAGCCATGCCCGGGCGGTGTGGCTCAGTGTATTGAACATCATCCCCTGGACTAAGAGGTCCTGGTTTGATTCCCAGTCAGGGCACATGCCAGGTTGTGGGCAATCGCCAGGAGGGGGCATGCAGGAAGCAGCCAATTTATGTTCTCTCCTCTCACCTCAATGTTTTTCTCTCTCTCTAAAAAATCAATGAAAACATTTTAAAAAAACCAGAGCCATTAGTATGGACAATGGAAGAATGTGAGCTACAAAAGAAAGAGGAAATTCCTAGTAAAGAAAAATGGACCAAGAAAAACCATCAGCCCAGCCGGTGTTGCTCAGTAGTTGAGTGTCGATCCATGCACCAAGAGGTCGCCGGTTCAATTCCTGGTCAGGGCACATGCCCAGGTTGTGGGCCTGAACCCATGGGGGCTGTGCAGGAGGCAGCCAATCAGTGTTCTCTCTCATCGATGTTTCTATCTCTCCCTCTCCCTTCCTCTCTATAAATCCATAAAAATAAAAAAAAATTTTTAAAAAAAGAAAGAAAAAACATCAGCACTAGTCAGCACTACTGACTCAAGATGGAAGAGAATTAGGTGACTGGTGGCACTATATAGAGGGAGACACCAAGGGTTTTAGTGTCTGACTTAGACGAATAATGAAGTCAGGAACAGGAGAAGACTGCAGAGTGTCGACCATGTCAAGTTTGAGGTTCCTACAGGATCCCAAGTGAGGTTAGGTGTGGTGCTAAGAAAAGACATCTGAGCTAGAAAGTTAAATCAGAGCAGAATATCCCTATCATGTGAGCACGGGGTAAATAACCCAGCCGGGGCAGAATCTTGAAGAATGCTAGCATAGTCACAGAAAAGAAGCCCAAGAAGATAAGAGGTAGCAGCCAGGAAAGAGTGGCATCACACAAGCAGAGGGAGGAGAACCTCCGAGGAGACAGAAGCCACGATGTAAACTAGCACAGAAAAGTCAAGACAGGCACTGAGACAGGTCCTTTGGAAGGCAAGTTAAGAGAGCAATTGCCTGTGCAATCAGTGAAGCAGATCAGAGAGGGTGAAAGAGAGGAAAACGAACAACACTGAGTGGTTGAAAGACCTCTCTTCACATCCAAGAAGCTTAGTAATAAAAGGAAGGAGAAAAGATGCTATAACTACGCAGAGGGGGAACTGACACAGCAGAGGGACTTACATGGTGAGGGAAAAAGCTAAAAGAAGGAAGACACTTCAAGAAAGGAGATTCTTTTTTTCTATTGATTTTAGATAGAGAAAGAGAGAGACTTCATTGTAGAAACATTGATAGGTTGCCTCCCACAGGCACCCGGGTATGTGCCCTGACCAGAATTGAACCCACCACCTTTTGGTGTGCAGGACAACACTCCAACCAACTGAGCCACACCAGCCAGGGCAAGAAAGACAATTCTTCAGTAAGGGGAGAAGGAGGAATTCAGAAGAGGTAGAAAAACTGCCTTAAAAAGGAGGTGGAGAGCCCTGGCGGGTTTGGCTAGAGGGTCGGCCCTCGGACCAAAGAGTCTCAGGTTTGATTCCGGTCAAGGGCCTTGGTTATGGTTCGGTCCTCGGCCCTGGTCAGGGTCATGAGGGATGCGGGAGGCAACCAGTTGATGTGTCTCTCTCACGTCATGTCTATGTCTCTGTCTCTCTCCCTCCCTCCTTCTCACCTTCCCTCCCTCCCAACTCAATCTGAAGATAAATGGAAAAATATCCTTGGGTGAGGATTAAAAAAAAAAAGGAGGTGGGAGAGAAACAAGAGGGGTAAGGATGTGTAATGGGTTCAGAGAAGTTACAGACAGGAAAGCAGGGAAGTATGCTTTGGATGGTTTGCTTGTGGAGGGAACAGGACAACCACCACGGGGACGAGGACGTCTCAATCGTGTAGCAAGGGCAAAAACAAGTATCACGGCA